ATTAGCAAGTAGAAAGATAATAAGTCTTAAACTAAGGCGACAGAGGGCCTATAAACTAAGACATTAGGCAGATTTGGTTGGTTATTATGACTCTACCCTGGTCTTTTTATGTGGTCAGCCCTCTGAAGATTTGCTGTTATTTAAATTTTAATGTTTTTAAAATGGCATGGAAATGATATAATTACTACTCAATTACCTGCTTTTAAGGTACATTCTAGGTAATTTCTTTTTCTCTAAAATAAAATGAGTAAATTTTGCTATGTCTATAAACCTAGCAACAACACAAACTCCTTTATTTCCCAGTTATGTTGCCTTGCAAAAGTGAGAGAAGCAAAAGAGGAGAGAGAGTTTTGACTCATTTGAGTCATATGAGTCGAGACTAGGATGCCTCTGTTGAGAAATGGTGGCAGTTGGGAATCCCAGCTACTTGAGGGCCTGTAATCCCAATTACTTGGGAGGCTGAGGCAGGAGGATAGCAAGTTTGAGGCCAGCCTGGGCAACTCAGAGAGAATCTCATGTGAAAATGATAAATAAATAACCAACAAATCAACCAACCCACCTAGGTCACCTCCTGTTGTTGCTTCTTCAGGAGTTGGTGTGGCAAGGAAGCAAAGAGCAGAGAAGGTGCCATGCTTGTTAAGGCATGAGGGCCTCCCATTTCTGACCCTCCTCTCTTCTCCTGATGCTCATGAAACACTGGATGGGAGTGGGAGAGGGGTGGGCTGGGGGATGGGAGTGGGGTGGGGGTGATGGTTTTAGGAGTTGGTGTTGTATACACAGACAATGAAAAAACATCCTAGACTGTCACTTCTCCATCTCCTTCCTCCCTGGCCCTCCTGTTACTTTCCCCTCCCTCCCTCTGCTCTCAGAGTGTGCCAGGTATGTTCCCACCTCAGAGTCTTGGCACTATGTCCATGGTGTCCGACCTGGATTGCCAGGTTCTGCTCAATGTCCCCCTCTCAGTGAACCTTTCCAGACCACCCAGCCTAAAACAGCACCATCTCCACATCTCCTCCTCCTAGAGAGTGGGAGCTGCAGAGCTCATGAGCTGACTTCCTGTGGCACCTGTCAACGTCTGACATATTGCACATAGTGTCTGTCTGCTGTCTAGGTCCCCCATGCACTAGACAGGAGCTCCGGGAGAGCACCGGTGTTATTCTGTTTATTCAGGGCTCTGTTGACTACAGTGCCTGTCACAGAGTAAAGCGTTTAGTGAATGTTGAATGAACGAAAGAAAAGAAAGGCCAGAAAGAGGGCCGGAGATGCTGTTTCATGCTCCCCTCTCCAGGAAACCACAGGGGACTGATGCCACACATGCTAGGAGGACTGGCTCCTGCTGACCATTTTCTGTCAGAAAAGAAGGCTCTGCTTGCCTCTCCAGCCACAGGGCATCCTCTCAGGGAAGGAAACAGAGGTTTCTGTGGATAAAACACTCAAACAAAAGAAATCTTATCCATAAAACAATTACATCTTCTCTTAGGAATAAAGAATGAAATGATCAAAATAAATCATGCCTGAGAACTTTGCCTCTGAAGTCACCAACTACAAAGAAACTTGAATTTCCAAAGCTTAAGGACATGTGACTGGGCCCTACCTTGCACGGGGTGGGGGGGAGACCATGTGTCCAGGCGTCCCAGCTCTCCACCCTCCCAGCCTGAGCTCTGCAGCTCCCACTCTCTAGGGGTTGATGCAGAACCATGGGCTGCAGCAGATACAGTGACTAGGAAAGTAAGTTAGTCATCACGAGCAATAGAAGCTGTGGGTCAAATGTCACTGACTAATCAACCCGTCATTGGTCAATTACCTATCTCCATGAAGAGGTGCCACTGATCTAGTTTCCTATCAATAAATGTCTATCTGGGCACATCAGCTGCTGTAACTGCAGCCTGCCAAGATATCCAGCACCATTCACAGGCATTGGTGGCTAGGAAATCTCTCTCCCTTTCCTCTTAATAATGTCACAGAAGAGGCAAATGCAGTTCCTCACAACATAATGTTGGTTTCACCGAGACGTGTCTCTTTGGGCGCTCAGCTAGTTATACAGAGCTTCAATTGCATGGATCTTCTTACTGAAAAAACAATACTTGGGCTTATGGAAGTTGGAGGCTTCATACTGTGCTGAGATACACAATTCTGCCTCTGGTTGTGCTCCTGCTCATCATCCTCCCTCTGAGTCAGGAAAAGAAGAATTTTTTTGGCGGGGAATCATTTTCATTCCACATTTAAAGAAAACCAAATGAGCACTGCTCTCTCCTGCACCAATGACACATTTTCCTGGAGTCAGATTCAACATCTCTGATTCTCTGGTAGGGGCAGAGGCCAAGGTGGCCTTGTCCCATGAAGAGCCTGTTTGTCTTCAATTGTCACCCTGGCAACAACCACATCAGGTTCCTGCTGAATCTAAAATTATAGATTTCCTACCGTACCTCCTACAATTCCCCCTCTATCTGACAGCCCGCCTCATGCACATTTAACCTGACAAGAGAAGCTTATTTGGAGTTGCCACAGATTTACATGCCAGGTGGGCAGGGGGGAGCCAGCAAGTAAATAATCATAATACAAATGCTGTGACAGGAACTCTAGACCAAACGCATGGGATGGCAGAAGAGGGGTGTCTCAATAAGCCCAGGAGATGACAGAAGGTTAGAGACGCGCTCCCTAAGGGGTGAATAAGAAATAAGAGGGGGTAAGAAATAACAATAAAGGGGAATAAGAAAGACAGGTAAGAGAAGGGAACGAGAAGGTGGTAAGAGGTGTAAGCAGTGAGAACAGGATGATCAGAGATTGGAAGGCAGGGAGTAAGAAAGGAYAGGCACCATAAATGCTAACAACTAAACAGCAAGACAGGCTGAGGTGCTGATGTAGAGGCTGCATGGCAAGGTGGAGGCTGAGAGAAGAGGCTGGGCAGACAAGGCAGAACGTTGTTAAATGGTTTAGTTGGCACTTTCTCCTGAAGGCAAAGAGCAGCCATGAATCCTCTTAGGGAGGGCTGTAGCCACATTAGATTGATGGTAAGGGTGAGGGATGGCTACACATGGAGGAGGGAGAGTCAGTGGAAGTCTGAAGGTCAGATAGAGAACCCAAACTACAAAGGTGCAGCTGTGGTCATGGCATGGGTGGAGGAGAGGTGAGCTGGTGAGGTGTTTGCAGACGGTACTGCCAGGACTTCAGGGCTGGCTGGTAGGAGGGGGAGGAACAGGACAGGTCGAGATTTAGAAGAGTCTCATGTTTTTGGCTCAGGCAACAAATAAATTGGAGAGAAAGGGTGCTGCGGACTGAGATAGGGAGTCTCCCCACAAGGTAACTTGAGAAGAACGGGGAGGACAGAAGAACTTCACCTTAGACATCTTGATTTGAGATCACATGGAACACCGTCAGATGGTGGCAGAGGTGGGGAGGGGGCACAAAGTACCAAGGAAACGAATGGAATAAAGAAAATATCACAAGAGAGCGGGTACAGCTACTAAACTGCCCGTTTGCTTCAATCTTCATTGGCAAGAAGACTGGCCTTCAAATTAGAAATGGCAGAACAAACATAATAAAGAGAAAATTGAAGTCCCAAATAGGTGAAGTGAAAGAAAAGAGAGTATCCAGTCAATTTAAATGATTTCAAGTCTCCTGGCTCAGATGAGTTACACCCCAAGCCTGCTGAAAGAAATTGCAGATGTAATCTCAGAGACACGACTGGTAATCTTTAAGAAATTGTGGGGACTATAAGGAGTGCCAGAAGACAAAAGAAGGACAACTGATTCCCAGATTTTTAAAGTGAAGAGGAATAGATTATAATGGGAAATATACAAGCAAGTTTCACATAATCTGTGACAAAAATTCTCAAACAGCTTATTAAGTAGGTGGTTGATGAGTACTTTAGTTAATCCATGAAGCTAATGAAAGGAAGGGGGTTGTTGTTTGCAGTGTGACAGTTTTTATTTGTACTGGTAGCCTGTCTAGACTGGTTGTGGCCGGTCTTGTACCCCTCTGTAAGCCTAAGTGAGTGATCTGGCCTTCAGTCTAAACTAAAGGCTTCTCTGATTTGCTGCCTATGGTACTTGGTTTGTGACATGGCCCTTGATGAAAAGGGGTTGCCAATTTAATGAAGAAATAGACAGTCTGAATTTGCCAAGAAATTCAGCACAAGTCCTCAGGGTGCTTGGGAAACCTCTGGGGTTATTAGCCCCTTGACAAATCTGTGCCTGTCACACTCCTACTGTCTTATTTTTGTTAGTTCTCTCTTTCAACACAGTGTCTTAAAGAAGAGAACAGGAAATGACACAGCAAATGTGGCACATCATGGGGTGGGGGAGGCAGTCACAGGCCTCCAACACCTCCACCCCAGGCAGACTGAGAAAGATTCATAGAAAGACATTTTTTACAGGAGGACTTTGGAGGTCTTCTCGAAAGGGCAGGGCAGGGCAGGGCAGGGCAGGGAAGCCTACTCAAGATCCAGATAGCCCTCTTCAACTAAAAGTATTCTGTCAAGGAGCAATACCAGTGTCCACTTAAAAATTACATATTCCTACAAATCAAGCAAAGTTAAAGTGCCTTTCTTAAAACAAAAAAAGGGATAATGAAAAACAACCCAGACACAAAGTTACTAACAAGATTTTAGAACCAGGTTTCATATTCAGATCTGTTTGGTTCATATGCAGTCATTTATTAACACTGAAAACAATTTTTCATTCTATGTAAGACCTCTTTTGACATGTTACCCTGTCTCTAGCCAATGCAAAGGGAGACTTGGGAGGGAGTGAACCCGGCCCAGGTGAGCCTCTTCTCTAGTCCCCCGTGCCTGATGTCGGTGCCTCTCCCCACCAGAAATCCAAATGTACATCTGGAATCTTACTGCCTCAGCCTTCCACTCCTACCCCCTTCTGCATGTTCAGATCAGAGAACAGCAGAATTTCATCATTGAAGTGATTGAGGTCATAATTTTACCAAAATATAATTTTCATTAAAATAGTTACATTTAAAAACTAATTAATGAGCAGAAATAATCTTACCGTATTGATCCAATCATGTATGGTTGTGCCAGTTGAACCACAATTGCACCACTTCCTAGCTGGTGACACGTGTAGCCAGAATCCCAATCATAATTTTTAGTGTCCCCATTCAGCAAGGCATTTCGGCTCCGACTGACTCCTTCGATTACACTGGCACAATCAGCAATTGTTGCAACATTCTCCATGGGAACTGTGAATGCAAACCCAAGATTTGGCATTAGGATAAGAGAAGTCAAATAGATTCCAAAAGCATGAGCAGAACAAGATTAATTAATTACTATCTCAAATCAACAATAACAGGGAAATTAGAACATCTTGATTATCTTAATACATGAATTTTCCATGCCAAATAATTTTTAAAAAGTTGAACTTAAGGTTAGAACAAACCAAACCATATGTAGCAATTAATCCTATAGTATTTTATTATGAAGGAACATAATAACATATTAAATACAGAGTGGATATATATACCATAGAATATTACCACAAAGAGAAACTATAGAAATTGAGATTGGTGTGGTGCTGGGGAACAGACCCAAGGCCTTGCACACTCTAAGCAGGAGCTTTAACCCTGAGCTACATCCCTGGTCCAGTAAATGAGATTAATGAGCTGTAAACATACACATATGTTAAGTGGGAAATTCATAAATTCCGTATTTTAGAATTCACAAAGCAGGAAAGTGATCGAGGACATGATACCAATCGCTTCTCAGAAAGTACAGTTGGCCTCAGCCGTGATTCATTTCCTCCTCTTGTTTACTATTCTGTCACTGCAACACATTTGCTCTTTCCTTTGTTCATGAACTGCTGTATCTTGAAAACCCAGCTGTGTTTTGATTCTCAGTCTCTCTATATACTCCAAGTCCATATCAACCTGCTCATTTATAAAAGTCAAGAGCTTCCACAAAATGATGGCTGCCCAGTATGATAAAGATTCTCTAAATACTGAGGAGAGAGCAATACAAGATAAGGGCATTTTAAGTCCCTGGGCCTTTTCTACAGGGTTTCTACCAAAATCTGCAATTTTCTTTAGACATTTTAGACCAAAATCGACAATGTCAACTTGCTATATTTTTCAGTATATTATACTCTCTGAAAATACAGAGAATGAGCAATACTATCATCGTGCCAAAACACTCCTAACTTTATAATGATGTGAAATAAATAATCCTACATGTATCTTCTGAGCAATGCATTTATTTTCCAAAGTTGGACAAGCCTGGACTTAACACTTCATCTCCTACTTCACTAATTGCTTTGCTTTTTGAAAATGAGAATGGCCACAGAGTAGGAAGGAATGAAGGGAAGGAGGGAGAGAGACAAGATGGTTTTCTGGTGACGAATTCTTTGACTCTGAAGTTTTAACTCCAAAGAAACAAGCAAAACACTGGTGAAACCACCAGTGAAGAAAATTTCATGGCAGAAAAGGGGTCCGTGGGATTGCTTTGCCCAGCTTTTGTGCCTCCACCATGCTGTCTCGGTTACTATAATTTTAGAGTAATCTTAAAGTCTCCTAATATTAGTGCTTCTCTTCCCCATCTTTCCCTTCTTTTTCTTCAAAATTGTTTTAGATATTTTAGTCCTTTCAGTTAATTTTTACATTTTCAGTTTCTAAATACACTGACGTAAAGTCCYATGACTTTGGAACAAAACAAAGGTAAAGAAGTATCTTCAGAGGGCAAGTCCAGACATCTCCATCTCCAGGAAAAGAGGTAGCATTCCCTAATGAGAAGGGAGGACTTCCAGAAGTGGCACAAGACGCACAGTGAATGGAGCTGAGCCCTGAAACAGCACTCTAGCGCAAGCTATGCTGCAATGACAGACAGCCCTCCAGTCCCCTAGTGGCTTCATGTAGCACATTTATTTTTCACATTTCACATTTTGTACTTAATCAGCCAGGTGGTTCTGCTCATGATATCACAAGAGATCCCAATGAGTTTTATATTGACAATCACAGCAGCAGGGAAGAGAATGACCTGGACACTGGCTCTTAAAATATTTCCCCAAAGCAATATGCCATTATGCTCACATTTCATTGGCCAAGGCAAGTCACATGGCTTTAAAAGGTTAGGCAGGGCAGAAAGAGCCATCCTGCTGTGTGCACAGGAGAGGTACTAGGAGGAAAAAATGGATATTCAGTGAACAATATTAACATCTATCATATCAGGACAAAGGAACATTCAATAGAAACATAAATATGATCATTTGTTTAAAATCTATAAAGTATTTCAATATATAAATTCCAAAATGTATACATCTAGCTTCCCACTAAAGGGTATTTAGACAGTTACCATTATTTTCTTCTTCATTACAAACAGAAGTGTGTCCTTGTGTTCCTGGCTAAGAATTTCCTTAAAGGAATATATAATTGCTGTATAGAATAATAGAAGGTAATTAATAGAAACAATAGAAAAGAATTATACCCATATTTCTCTTCAACTTCCCTGAGTATTGCCAAATTACTCACCAAAGCAGTTATAAACATTTACTTTCAACTCACTAAAAGTAACTCTTGGTAATACTGGACAGAGAGTACGAAATTATACATCAGTGTGGTTTTAGTTCTTCACCCTTTTTCCTTAGATGAAGTTGAACCTTTTTTTCTACCTCTCCTCTGTAAATTGCCTATTTTTTTTATACCTTTTGCCTATATTTCTATTATCCTTCTATAATTGATGTGCAGAATGACAATCTTTTGTAGGTTAATACTGAGTAGAAATATTTAATCTTTCATTTGTGATTTGAGCTCTCCCTTTCTGGTTTGTAAATTATTTCCTATACCCAATCCATAAAGATATTTTCCTGTATTTCTCCTAAAAGTGTTCAGATTTTCCTTTTCACATTTTAATCTGCTTAGAATTTATTTTTGGAATGCTGTGAGATAGGAATTATTCTCATCTTTTATTCATAAGGATGGCCAATTTCCCCAGCACCATTTAATGAACAGTCCGTCCTTCTCCCCACTAATTTATGCTACTGTAGACATGTATAAAGTTTTCCTATGTGCCGGCACCTCTCTTTAAGATCTCTATCCTGTTTCATGGATTGCTTTGCCCAGCTTTTGTGCCTCCACCATGCTGTCTTGGTTACCATAATTTTAGAGTAATCTTAAAGTCTCCTAATATTAGTGCTTCTCCTCCCCATCTTTCCCTTCTTTTTCTTCAAAATTGTTTTAGATATTTTAGTCCTTTCAGTTAATTTTTACATTTTCAGTTTCTAAATACACTGACGTAATTTTCCACAGCATACCCACCTTTTTTTTTTTAGTACCAGCAATTGAGCCCAGGGGCACTTAACCACTAAGTCACATCCCCAGCCCTTTTTATTTTTATTTTTAGTCTTGCTAAGTTGCTTTATACCCTCTTTTTCATTTCAAATATCATTTATTTATATCTTTTCTTTCTTTTTTGATCAGTCCTATACTCGTTTTCTTACTTTATCTAGGCTTTCAAAGAACCAACACTTAATTTTTCTTTTTTATCCTGTTTCACTAAGTTCTTCTCTTCATTATTTTCAGCCTTCTGCTCCTTTGGATTCACTCCCTCTCACCCCAACCACCCACTACTTGGAGTGAACGCTTAACCCCCTTCTTCTTTTCTTCCCTTTTTGCAGTGCTGGGGGTGGACCCAGGGCCTTACACGTGCTAGGCAAGTCCTCTGCCACCAAACCACATCCCCATCTCAAGAGCCCTTCGCTCATTAATCTTTTTCTTTTCTTACAAAAGTATTTAAAGCTAACTTCAAACTCCTGTTTTCACCTTTATCTTCAAGTTTTAACATACCACATAGTGTTTAAAAGAGCACTAGTCAGGTATTATTTAGAATGTCCCTCAACCTGCATTTGTCTGATACTTCAAAAGCTGACTACTTTCAATGTTTTTGAGTTTTCATTATAATTTTTTCTTTGTTTATTCAGAGTATGTGTTTAGCTTTCCAAATATAATTTTTCATGTCATCTTAACATTGCTAATTTTTAATTCCATTGCAAGGTGGACAAAAGGTGTGGTCTGTGTAGTAATGAGCATGCAGCATGTGGTCTGTGCAGTAATGAGGATGCTCTGTGGCATAGTATGTGATTAATTCTTAATATTTCATGTGTATCTGAAAATAAGTGTATATCCTCTAATTTGAGGGCTGAATAGTTCTATATGTCTGTTAAATCAAACTTGTTAATTGTATTAAAATCATTTACATACTTACTAGTTTTTCAGACATTTGTTAAAAATCTCCTGCTATGACTGTAGTCTTGTCAGGTTTCTCCTTATAATTCTTTCAATTTTGTTTTATATATTCTGGGATCACATCATTTCATACACATCATTTTAGAATTATTAAACCTTCCTGGAGGACTAGACCTTTCCCATTACATACTGTTGCTCTTACTCCTAATAATGGCTTTACCCCGAAGTCTACATTATCTGATATCTTTACTTTGGCTACTATTTTCTTAGTATCACACTACTTTTTAATTTCCTAGTCTCTTATAAATAACATACAATAGTTTTAAAATAAGCTCAGTGTTCTGTGTTTTTTAATGGGCAGATTTATTTACAAGTTTCTTCTTTGCTGCTTTCCTTAGAAAACTGGAGCAGAGTGGACAGAAAGCTAACAATTTGATGGTTTCCTTTATTTTCCTCACCAGTTCTCTCTATTGATTTGGTTTGGAAGTTGCACATTCCATTCTACGATTTTGCTAGTTATTTTTAGATAATCATATCAGACTTWACAATGCCTAAAGCTGAAAACTGCATAGTCCCTTCTCCTGAACAATACAGAAGACCTTAATATTTTTTTAATACCAATCGCTTAGTGGCTTGTCATTATTATCTAACATTTTAGTTCTATTCTGTTTTATATTCTCTAAATTAGTCATTACTAGAGGCTGGGGTTATGGCTCAGTTTATCCACATTCACCAATTTGTTCCCCCCTCCTTTTGGTTCAACTTTCTTCAACTGATGGCATATCTATTAGTATTCGGCCAAGTTTTTGTCTGAAGGTGTATGTTATAGTTTGGACAGGAGGTGTTCCCCAAACACTCATGTGTGAGACAATACAAGAATGTTCTGAGGAGAAATGATTGGGCTAGACTGCCTTAATCTAATCAGTGCATTGACCCACCCACACAGATTAACTGGGTGGTAGCTACAGGCAGGCAGGGTGTGGCTGGAGGAGGTAGCTTCCTGGCACTGT